ATATATATATATATATACTATATACTATAATATTTTTTTCTCTTTATACTGCCTTTAGAAAATAAAAGCGACAGATGCTTGCTAATGTGAAAGTATATATTCGATCGTAATAATTACAAGTAGTAAAGAATTTCGAGTGTGAGGAAAATGTTATAGTTATACTAACACTAATGAACGAACCAGATAGATTTGACAGATAATAGAGTACATATGATTGTTCGTACTTTGACAGATTTTTTTAAGTGAAGGAGGAAGTCTCGCCTTGTTTCCCCCGAGCTGAAATGAGAGCGAGCCGCATGCAGATATATCGCGCCATGGCAATCGCATCTTCCACGAATGTATTATTTTATTTCGTTTTTGATTTTCTCTCTCCTTTTTTTCATAAATTAGAATGAGGACTAGAATAATGTATATTTTGTAACATTATAGTTAATTTTTTCTTTTTTTCTTTTTTTTTTTTAATATAATAGGAAAATATGTTGGATAACAATATATGTGTATAATATTTAAAATTATAACATAAAATCTATTGTTTGATAAAATTTTTGTTATTGCATAAACAAATATATTACATATTTCACGTAATATAATATTGTTTCATTTGTTGAAGCTGGCACCATATGATTGACTAAGTATAATGTGTAATATATATATATATATGTATATATATATATATATATATGTTACGGTAAAAGCATATAAATTCAACAATTGTATATATTTATTAATAAATGTATACAATTATTTAAGGTTAAAGAAAGTTAAGATTAAAGAAAAAAAATGAATATGTTTATTATGACTAATAAATAACACTTTTAAGCATATATTCTTATTTAAACTTTAGTAAAAGCATACTAATTCATATAAATTTTTGCGTGCATATTTTGATTAAAAAATGATTTACGAAATTAAACTTATGCAATTTAATACTCCTAATTAAAACAATAACAAAATATTAGTACTATAATGTTTTGAATAAAAATGTCATAATTATTGATTATATCTAAAATAAATATTTTACACAAAACTAAATAAAGAATTTTAAAATACAAGATGTAAATATGTTATTTAATGAAATATTTTTTATTTATTAGATCATAATAAATTACATAAAACAATATTTTAATCGCATATATATACATATGTATGTATATATAATTTGTATACACATTTTATCCAAATTAGAATAATAAGTGTATACATTTATTAGGAAAAATACTGTCTTCTCTTTCGACAATTTTAATAGTAAAATTAGTATATATATAAATATACTAACAAATGTATACTATTACTGATTTTATGCTTTTGCTGTATAACATATATATTGTTTTTTCCTTTTTTTTATATCCAGCATAAATTCCTTTTTCGAAGATAGCGTGGAATACATATTTGATTTCTTATAATGTCATTAATAAGTCTATATATTGGCTTCTTGTACTGATTCTTTCACTAAAACAAAATTCAAGGAACTATGCCCTTTAAAATGAATAGATATGTATGTTGTCACATAATATATACATATGTATGTACAAATATTGACATAGCTACAACATTTTCTTCCGAAGTATCGTGCAGCTTCATACTTTTTTGTTATTTATAGATAATTTTGAAGTTATAATAAATAACATATGTCTTTGCAAGAATGAAAGAATCTAAATAGACAAAGGAGTTAATTAATTTTATTTGCAATATTGAGAAGAAACAATTCTTACAATTTAATATACTTTATTATATTGTTTTTTAATTGATACCTATGTTTATATTTTCTATTTAATGTCAGTATAAGAATTGCATTTATATTTGGACATCATTTAGCTGACTCAATTTGTTAAATGCAAATATATTTTGATTGAACAAATACAAATATGAAGATATGTAAAAAATGTATCAGGCATTCCACTTTATCTTTTCACTTTAATTAAAGTACATGTTTTTTAATGCGATTAATTAAAGTATAACTTATTTTTATCCGAAATTTTTCATTGTCGAGATTCTGTAAACAAATAGCAACAAATTAAATAAAAATATTTAATATTTGTATTTAATCCACCAGAATGATTCTTTATTTCTGCAAAGTGGTAATTATAAATACTATTCCGAGGTTGATCTCAAAATTAACTAGTACATTATAATTAGAGTGCTATTTGATTGCAATCAATGGCAATTCAATTTTATCTATCTTGCTTTAATTTATTTTGTTAATAAATATTAATTTGTATTGTATAAATTATTGAGAACGCGACATATAATTGAATTATTTGATCGAGGCAGGCCATAATATTAAATTGGTACTTCATTTATTTGTATATTGATTAATGTATCCTAATCTATACATATTGTATCATTATTTAATTATTAGAAATATACAATATTTAAGCACGTATGTCTTTGATAATTTTACTGTATAACAATAAAGAGAAGTGTTAATGCTAATTTTTTATTAAAGAGCAATGCTGTGCTTAGTACAAGGTAATATTAAAAATCCAATTAAATTAACTGTCACATTTATAATAGCTTTTACCCAAGATTACCTTTTATAAATGTCATATTTATCATAGAAATATATATATTTTTCAATATGTGAGAGAAATCATACCTATCTACCATATTTTTAATGGAACCTACAAAAAACAAGATATTACACATAATCCTTTAGTATTAGAGGTGTAGCTATTAAAAATATTAATAATATATCTGCGATTTAACTTTATTTCAATACTAAGTACAGGTATTGGCTTTGCATATATTATAAATTTGAGAATTGTGATCATGTGTTACCCCAATATCGAAGATACGTGCCTTTTCCTATAATATTGTGTATTTCAAATATCTCGTTACACGATAGATCAATGCACTAATCCTTCCACAGTCATTGCCAATAGCATTTATTAATAATATCTGGTCAACGCAAATAGCATCTACATTTATGTGGCAAATAACTATTATTATACGTTTATTAACGGATTATAGCGTACCCTGTAGAGTGGCCTCGGGCTACTTAAGAATATGTTATCCTACTTGTAAAATCAGAGAAATTTTATCATCTCTGATCTTTTAAGACATTGATGATTTTTTTATATTCTTTTGTATAAAGGATATTTAAAAAATCGTATATTTACGTCTATTGTATGATATAAAATATTTCCAATTAATATTTCATTTACATCTCCTGAGATTGCACAATTAATGTATCCTGATATATTTAGTATTTTGATATAGTATATTTCCAACGAATGTTTAAAATCATCATTACTAGGATTTGTTTTTGTATTTGTCACATGTTTATCGATATTCGGATACATAAGTGATATTAGAAAGTTATATATATTATATATAAAAGTAATAAAATGTAATATCTAAGATCACCCAATAAACTAATGTATATGAAAATAAGAAAAGAGAAAATATTGAACAATTAAAGGAAAAAGTGAGAGAGAGAGAGAGAGAGAGAGAGAGAGAGAGAGAGAAAAGAGACCACATCATATTAAATATATCAAAATATGAAGTAAAAAAATTTGTTTGCAAATTATATAAATATAACATGTCTTTAAGTGATTATGCTATTTGCTGCACTCCAATTACGTGCCCGTCCAAGCATCCGGAAAGGATCCTTAGGATATTCAATTAATTATAGTCAATCTATTTTATTTAAAGAATCTAATTTAGAAATTTTTTTTAATTTAGATTTTATGGAGGGCAGTAAACAGCTTATAATATATAAACAAAATAGAGATATTATTTAATAATTTTAAGGAGCAATAATAGTAATAAATTCGCATTAATAAATATGTCAAAAATGTCTTGTATATGTTGTATTAATTTATTTCTAAATCCTTGTATACATAAAAGGAATGTTTTTGCCTGTGCGAAAATATATCTTATAGCGTTCACGATGCATGTAACTCGGTAGGAATGTGTTATGTGTGAATTGGGCTCTTTTTGTACATTTACACAACACATTTATCCTTTGATACATCGTATCAGAAATTATTTTTGGCAACGAATCACGATCGCAATTTGTATTACTTAATTAAAAAAAAAAAACTTTTAAACAATAACGTTTATATCCGCGATGAGATTTCACATCAACATTACACATCCTTATATTTTCATTTATTTTTATAAGAACATATATGTAATTTTGAAAATATCAATATATGACTTCTATTAGAGATTTTCTAAGCTCATCATATCATAATTTTATGTGTCATAATCAGTGTGCAATGGTGACAGGATGGTGATGGTTGTTATACATATGACAATTTGATTAATTTATCATGTTTAGTGTTTGTTAGCAACTGCCTTTGTTTTGTTATTTCAGCCCCATGGACCCATCCGTACCCCCCAAGCACCTAGTAGTGAGGTACGTTGCTACATACCATAATACCACTATCCGTATTTTAATTTCACTCATTTATTCCTTGATTTTTCGTACATCCAACTTTTTGTCGATCATTATCAATGTATGACGCGTATTTATATTCGTTTAAATAGAATATAATATTTAATGCACGTTCGTTGATATCTACGATGATCTTTGTGTAAACATAATATGCATATTTTGTAAAGTTTAATATTGCCCGTCAAAAATATTTGATATTTTAGATAATTATGCAAACATAAAAATTATATTTTAATTTAAGGTTAAAGCTCTGTGGAAAGAAATATTTTAATTACATATAATTATTAACATAAGATGGTATTTGTCTGATATATATACATGTGTGAAACATACTGAATTGATTCTTGTCATTTTTGCCTAGTAACTTTCAATTGACTTATTATTTACATACTTCATCAGTCACATATAAATTACAATATTTTTCTCATTATTATTTATTGTCGTAAGAATATCCCAAGATTTGATATTATTACGATAATATATGATACCTAATATATGTTCAAGATTGCAACGATTCACATATAACTTTTGTCTTTTGTGTAACTCACTTTTAAGTGTTCTTTACTATATAAATGTAAATATATGTATGCAACACTAAAATTGTAATTAAATTTATGACATAAACGATTTGCATGTCACGCATGTATGTTATAACTCTCCATAGGGTTTGATTCTGGATGAATTTCTATTTTACATTATATTTTACATTATCTATCGGCAGCTTGCAAAGATTTTAGCACAACGTTATATCTTAAAATCTCTTTTAAACGGATTAAGAATTTATTTTTGCGCCGCAATATCGCTTGAAGCTTCAATGTATAACATATCACATTCTGCACAAGATCGACATTTTACATGACTCGATATATTTCATAACTTTTAGTTTGATCGTAATATGCATAAAACCATGTTATAATTTCTAATAATAGATAAAAACAGTACCCGTGAGAAATATTTAGATAAATTTGTGAATTTGTAAAACGCTCTCGTAACGTTAAACATAAAAAAATAAAAATGCAAGGTAGAAGTATTCGGAATTTCGCTATATGATGGAGAACTTTTTTTTTTATTGTAGTTGGATTTATACCGCCGTATTAAATTTATTCGTAATTGTGAAACCTGTACCACTGGAATTGCTTTAGATAATTGAACGGGTTTAAGATATCTTTTTGTTACAGCGGAGCTACTACTAACGACGAACAGGTCAAACCGCGCAGTCTACGCTTCACGTGGAGTATGAAGACTACCAGTAGTCGAGATCCTAATGAAATAATGTCCGAGATCCGAAAGGTATTGAAAAAGAGAAGGCGATATATTTTACGAATACAGAAACGAGCCTGTTTACACCTGTCTCTTTGAGACGGATGATATAACATTTATATATGTGAGTGATAGACTAGACGCGTTATCTCGTATTATCTTCTTCCAGGTATTGGATGCCAACAAATGCCAGTACGAACAACGCGAGCGATTCCTGTTGCTGTGTGCGCACGGTGAGGCAGCGACGGACAGTCAAGTACAATGGGAGATCGAGGTCTGCAAATTGCCACGACTTTCCCTAAACGGAGTACGGTTCAAGCGTATCTCCGGCACATCAATCGGTTTTAAAAATATTGCCAGCAAAATCGCGAACGAGCTCAAGCTGTGACTGTCGGCCACGGGCGCCTTAGCCGCCAATCGCGCCAACCCATAACGACCTCGTGAGCGTAGCCACCAAGTGGCGGTGGTCACCGAGGAGTTTTACTCTTGTTTCTTCTTCTGGGACTCCGACTCCGAATCCGATACCCAAGAAATATTCGTTTAAACGCGATTCCTCCGTCCCAGTCGACGAACATCATTGTCAGGTGAGAGGGAAGAGAGAAAGAAAGATAGAGATCTTCTCACGTGTTTGTCGTCTCCTCTGCGTTGGAGGTACCGCTATTAACGATTCGTCGAAAAAAAGTTTGAAACTGTGATCCGTGATGACTAATACGTATTCAAATACTCCCGAGTGCCAAAATGGAGAACTAGATCGGGTCCTCGTAACACACTTTGCGAGCGAGAAAAAGAGAGGGAAAGAACGAAAGATAAGAGAGACGGTCCAGCTGACCTGATCAACCGTACAAAGAAGCTGGTATTAGACACAATAATCTATTATATTTATTAGTTTTGAATTTTGGTTATCGTTAACAAGATGTGCATCCGAACGAAAATAATCAGTCATTACAGGTTGATCTGCCTTCCCAATTATCAAACAATTCGTCACATCTGTCATGAAGTATAGCTTCATTTTTAAACAGTATTATGTTTCGTGTTATTCTTGACGTTGAAGGTATTTGCATTCAAATTGATATGTCTCTAGAATGTCGAACACTTACCGCGTATACTATCGTAAGATGATAAAAGATTAAAGTAGAATCGATTCAATCGGATTGTTAAATGTGCCTAATAAAACATTTCTCATCTATTTTGTTTTTCATGGCGACGGCGTTTCTTTTACAATAAAACAACGCGATGGTATGGAAGATAAAAGAAGCAATACATCTACAACGTCAAGAGATTTCTCTGTAACTTCCTGTTTTTCTCCTAATCTTATGTATCTTGTATGTAAAATTTTACTAATGGAGATTTTGCCTGTAAATAATTTGACAAATTTACAGAATCGAGAGACATGTGTTGCGTTCTGTATCGACAAGAATCTATCATTTAATGCATTAGAGCCATGAACGAATAATGAATTGAATTATTTCAATGTTGCACAATATGCAACTGTTTATTTTTTTCGAACATTTTTATGATATACTTTATCTTTTTTTATCTATAGCATAAGTTTGAAAATACGCAGCACTATAGACATTAGCCAATTATGATTAAAACATGTAATAATTATTGTTATTAATACTTTTATTTTTATCATAGACGACAAGAGAGAGTTTTATATATGTACATGTATATGTATGTGTATATATACATATATATGTATATATATATATGTGTGTGTGTATATATATAGTATACATAATACTATAAAGGTAGAAGCAGAGAAATTATTAACATAATTTAGAAATACCATCGAGTTATTACTCGTGTTTCATGTGATTAATACACACAATTCATCATTCTAAAAATTGAAATTATATAAATTTAAACTACATCAGTAATAACAAGATCTGTTATTTCTACGAGAAATATGATAATACAATTAAATTTAAGTATTATAATTGGCTATATTGTACTATTTAATCCTTTCATTCAGAAGTATATTTGCAGTTGAATGAAATAAAATTAGGGATTATCGTAAACCGTAGAAGAGCGAAACTAGAGACTTGGTGTATATAGTATACAATTACGAAGGTACTAAAAATTAATGAGAAGAGAGAAAGAAAGCAAGAGAGAGAGAGAGAGAGAGAGAGAGAGAACTTCACACACCAAAATCATAAAATACACTTTAAAACTCAAGTATCGCAAACTTTTTATATTTGCCTAAGATTAATGAAGTACGTTATTAAAATAGGCAATGATTAATTTATTTACAAACTATAAACTCAATGATTTTTCACATTTCTAACACTTGCTACACTGAAAAATACAGAATAACTTCAGCGTGCCAGCACGACGTACAATCGTGATACGTCGTGTTGCGGATCATGAAACGACTGATAGCAACTAAGTATCGGCGCCAATTGTCTGTTACTGAACATCTTGACAAAAATTCTAAGTAAATGATTAACGCAGCACTGGCATCGGGACTTATCTTCTTTATGCATAACCATACCAGTTTCGTGTCATCGGATTACTCCATGAACCAATAAGCGAGATAATGTAACATAACGACATAGTAATAATGTTATCGATTTACATTTTAAGGAGAGACAATTTAGATGCAAACATTCACACACTTCTCTAAAAGAGAGAAAGAGAGATATATATATATATATCCAATCACTTTTAAGGAATTAGACTGGAGGATAATAATCGTTTTCTTTTTTTCGTTTGTTCCTACGTCAATCAGAATTAGTATCCTGAGTACAATATCGAACATCATTATTATCATGTAAAATAAAAAGAAAAGGATTGTAATCCAGAGCGGCCGTTGTAAATGACTCTATAAAGATATACACATACAATATCATAAATAGGAATTATTATTATTATTATTATTATTATTATTATTATTATTATTATTATTAATGTTAACGTAAGGTCCTTCAGGTAGCATTAATAATACACATCCCCGACATATAGACGAATTAATTATCGTAATCTATACATAAATTCACCCTTCGCCGGCTTGCTTTACGAAATAAATGTATAAATTAACGATCGATGCGTAAGTGAAGAAGAAGATATAAATCTAAAGACATTCATAATTTTAACGCGTGAGAGAAGGATTCAAGTGACAATTAGAATCGCGGAGCTACACGGGCGACGCTTAGAGTCAAATTTGACGTAACGCTGGGGGAGTTTTCTTGTGATTTTTTTTTTGTATGTAAGTATCGCGAAAGAACATATTACTCCCGCCGGTAGTCGCCCGCGTGGCTGCGTCCGACAACCACTCGACGCGCACATAACACACGTACGTGAATTACATAGACACGTCGGTCTTTGTAGATAGGTACATACATATACAGCTTTGCTAAGTGTTTTCTGGTGATCGGTATCTAGCCAAAATGTAGCAAAACGTTTATAATAAAATGGTAACACGCATTGTTTCCCAATTCAGATTCCTGTCAAACGTGCGAATTCGTGTTACGACATGATCGAATCGTCGAACATTTTCTTTTCTTTCTTTCGACAAAATCGTGAAGAGAGAGGGTGAACGCATTCCTTTCTGATACTGTCAATTAATGGTGTATATGTACATATAATTATGATATAGAAGTACGGAAAATATTTCACTCGAGAAGCAGAACCATGTTGGTTATCACGACTGATTATACGCTTCTTAGAGTTAGACGAATTTGTTACGACAGACATGTCTAGTCGTAAAGTTTTTAATATTGTAAGTTTCATCTCTACATATTTGAGTTAGAAAAGAGAGTACAACTTTTTTCATGATCGTTCGAGAATCGTTTTATATCTACATTTTCTTATATATTTTTCTTTGTGGAAAATTATCACAATAATGACACTATACTCAAGGAAAAATTGTTACATCATGTATGTGTATGAAATAAAGTTAATAAAATCCTTATATACATCATTACGAAATTGCTATCATCTATTTCATTTAAAAAACGAATTCAAAATTAGATCAATAAGTCTCTAAATTAATTTTGAAATAATTTAAGCATATATATAAAACTGTTAGCGATCTCATAACGATATGATTAAGGAGTTTATTCTTTATTTTATCGTATTTTTTCTCAAGTGTCATAATTTTCAGTTTCCATGAAGAAAGATACGTTAGAAAATTTAAACATAAAATTATGCCCGAACGAAAAAGTGAAAGTTGTACCCTCCTTTGCAAAAGTACAAAAATCGGACGACTATTCAAGAAAAGAAATAAATAAGTATTGTATTGGATTCTATAAATATCGCTAATACAATATTAAAAAATGTTACAAAATAAAATTACATTCCTCTGAACTCGAAGACCATTGCTTGCGAGTAAAAGGACCGAAAATATTTCGTATAATATTTGTTAAGTCGCACAAAGAGATGAATATGTTTTTAAAATTTATTTCAACCTGTATGATATATCTTGTCAAAATTTTACAGCGAATTAAGTAAATTTTCGTTGCTTGTTTCAGAGTTATAAAAATTATTTTTAATTAAAAATGTATATATGGAAATATATATGTGTATTAGATGATTAATTTTAAATTAATAATTAGCAATCGCTTTTAAAATTGTATTCTATTTTTAATGCTGATGAGAAGGAATATTCAATTAGTTTCATTATATGACTAAAATCATCGCTCGATATTGAAATTGTATACTGGAAAATTAGATGAAATTGGTATTTCAGAATCGGTTCTTATATTTAAGATCGTCTTAAATACAATCTTAACAGATTATAGGTTTGTTCGCGTTACTTACACTTTTTTGGATTTATAATTTTTTATTTTTTTTTTATTTCAGAGAACGCAAACAACCTTATGAATACCAACCTGAATTTCAAATCGCTATTCCGAAACTTTGCTTTAATCCGATTGGTCGAATCGATTTCCAGCATGCAATTTCTAACACTGGTTTGATACGGGCATTACGGTTCTTCAGTGGCTTCACATGGTCTTCGTGAGTGATTTCACAGCTGTTGAGCATCATGACATTGCAGCAACGCGCTTGCGGTCTTGTGATTTTTCGCCGATTTCAAGGTACTATTCAATACTTGCTAATGCAAACATCATACGGAGAACATCACTGGACGCCGCCTAAAGGTTAGTATACTTTTACATCGACAGCTGTTATTTTTGATTTATCAGACTCAATTACACCAATATAAGATTAACTTTAATCTTTGTTTGCTTTTAAGCTTTTTTAATTCATAAAATTAGAAAAAGAAAAAGAGTAAATTTAATCGCGACTAAAGTTAATTTTACGCGACAACCTTAGCGTTAGCGAACAAACGGATTAAAGTCTCGTTCACATCGTGCGATTAAGTTTACGGGAACGTGTGATTAGAGAGTTCGGTCATTCGCACTACACTGAATTACACATTAAAGGCTATTCTATATAAAGTATTTAAATGCAATAATATATTCAACTTTCGATAATGAAATAATACATGTATATTCTGTTATATAACGTGACAATGGGCGAGTTCAAGAGTTAACAAAGCGGCTAGGCATGCTTACCGAGCAATTGAATATGATTGGTAGAATCTATAAGTAACAACCAATTACATTTGCTCGGCAATCAGACTAGCCGCTTTGTCAACTTGAATGCGCCCATTGGCTGCGTTCCGGATATCAATCATGAAACTTTATCCTTAGGATGGAAAGTGAAAAGTGAAAATTTTAATCATTGAAGTTAATGGAGAAATTTTTCATTTTTCATCCTAGAAAAAAAATTTCATGATTGATACCCAGTAGATTGACCAACAGTTGAGTGAGTGCTCATTGCTATTGATGTGTTCTTCTAGATCTGAAATTCTGATTGGATGATCTAAAAGAATACACCAATAACAGCGAGCACTCATTCAATTGTTGAATGCCCAATATTATTATTAAATATTTAATCGCGCGGTTCTAGTAAAAGAGCAATTATGTAAACATAAGTGTATGCATACATAAAATTATATATGCATATTATCTTTACATCCACAATTTGTGGATGTGGATTCGCACACATCAATTTTCGACACTATCAACTTCATCAGCAGTATCGATATTGTGATATTTACTTCACGAAATTTTATAAAAATAATGCTGGTGTCGATAGTGTAGCTTTCGAACGTTACATGAAAAAGACTCAAGTTTTTCTCTGGTATAATGTAAGTGACCGAATTCGCTATATTGAAGTTCCTTTTTAAATTCTAATATTATTGACAATAGAAAATGAAAAATTTTTAAACATTTTAATATTGTTTCTTTTTTGCTGTGAATTTAAATCGAATAAAATATAACAAAAAATTAAAGATCACTTTTTTCTAACTAAAAAAAAAAATTCCTATAAAAATGTTTTACTAAAAAATTATTCGACTTGACGGTCACTCGGTGTTGCTCGGTGTCTTAGGTCACGTTGATCCGGATGAATCTGACATGGAGACGGCCTTGCGCGAGACTCAAGAAGAGGCTGGATTTGTACCAAATGATTTGAAAATCTTCGAGGACGCGAGGCACGAAATGACGTATAAAGTGAAGGGAAAGCCGAAAATCGTTATCTATTGGTTGGCGGAACTGCTCAATCCGGACAAACTTGTGAGATTGTCGAATGAACATCAAGCGTTTGACTGGCTCCCGTTGCGCGAAGCATGTGATCGCGCAAAATACAACGAAATGCAGAAAGCACTCAACGAGTTCGATAATTATGTATCGCGAAATCTTTCGTAGGTTTTGTTCCGAGAGAGACATATTTTTATCTTATGCTTGTTTCTACCAACATAGATTAAATTAATTAATCTTGATTTAACTTACTTTTTATCTTTTTTTTTTTAATTTGAAGAATTAGAAATATAGGATATAGAGAATTAATGAAACTGGGATTAAAGTTAATCTATTGTACATTGGTACAAATGGACATTACTCCGTTATTTCTTAAATGGCAAATTCGATTGGACACACTCAACATGTACTGACATGTTTACGTCGTCATACACAAACTGACGTAAACATGTCTGTATGTTTAATATAAATATAGAACAAGTTAAAAAAATCAAAACGATGAAATACTAAATAATGGCTGCGTTAAGCAAAGCACAACAGTTTTGCAACTGTTTTATGATTGTCTGCTGAGATAAGATTATTCTTCTAGATCTAAAAGTATAATCCAATCAGCGCGAAGAAAACTTTCAACAATTGCAAAATAAACATTCTGCTAAATGCAGCCATTACGTTATGGTCCTGTTAACTAAAATATATAATATGTACATTATAATTTGAAATATTTGTATTTTACTTTTACATTTAGATTAAATCAGTATACCTTTAATATGTCTCAGTGCGCATTAGTGTTTCCAATCGAATTTGAAAATAATATAAATTCATAAATACGCGAAAACGTATTTTCCGTGAAAACAAACCTTTCGATTTGAAATTATAAATATGGCATTGCCGACATATCGTATAGTCTGTTCGCACATTGCTTGATTCTTTAAAACGTTAAATACTTTTACACTTAAAATGAGATAAATATATATTTATTGGGTATTGAAGAAAGAGAATACGAAGATGCTGAGTGCAAAAAGTGCAAGAAACGTGAACAGACTTAAGGTCGGTCTTACCAACTCCGATTAACTTAATCGATTGATTGTCACATTGGAACTGATCAATTGCATTTGCTATTCAGCAAAATTGACCAATCACGGTTGACATTTAATCGACTTCGACTAGGTTAATCAGAGTTGGTGAGATCAGCCTTTACTGTCTATTAAAAGTCGTAGTATACAAAAACAATTAGTGGTTCTTTAGTGTCTCGCAGAAAAATACGTGTAATTCGAATTGTTAATCGCAGTTGAAAATTATTGAAAACGTAAAGTTGTAATTTTAAAACTCTTAGCTGTGATCGATCAGTTTGTTTAATCGCGTTTACCAAATAGCACGCAGCGTTTACAAAGCGCTACAAAAGCGCATTTGAATAATCGCTTTTTTAGTGCTTTGCAAACGCTGCTGTGCTACTTATTTATATATTATTAATTCTTTTATCAAGGTCGATTTGCCAGAAATTTAAGTGATAATTAATTATGGATAACGTTATACGAAGTTTACGATCTTTTCTCAAGTATTGGTATTTTCGATATACTCTCGTTACTGAGTTATATATGGTAGAAGAATGGGAAAGGAATTTTATTAGTATCCTTTTTACACTGCTTATCGTAATCTTTAGATTTATCTCAATTAAAACATCTCGATATCAATTAAATCGAGTTCTATGCATAATATATAGTAATCGCATAAATAACATAATAATCTTTACGATGCAAGTATAATAGAAAGTATAGATTATATAATATAGTATCGAATCTTGTAATTATGCGTGTTAAGACGTTATATCTATCGCTTGTAATCTTTCGTAAAAGAGAAATCTCCATATTTTTCTTACATTAATATAACAGACATTTTTCTTATAGCCCTGTTCTTTCTCTTCTTTCTCTTCAACTACAAAGTAATGCTGCCAATCACGCAATACATTTTAGGATATTGATTGTTTGTTGTTCCCGCAACTTATAAAAATTATATTGTTTCAACATTCCAATGAATTCCATTTATAAAACAAGACTAGATTTATTTATGTGAAATATACTAAAAATATAAATTTTGAAGAACAATAATGGTCTTAAATTTATCATGAAATTTAGATATACATCTGCATAGGTATAAGAATCCAGTATTAAAATAAAAACCAAGAGGTGACATTGAGATCTTTATCTTATTTCGAACAATTTAGCAAAATTATATTGAAATATTTTGTTTTGTTTTATTATGTTGATATGTACAAAGTATGGAAATATTTAAATCTGTCAAAATCATATTTTTAATAAATTAGAAAATTTATCACATAGAACAATTTCTTATGATAACTTAAAGCCTATTCTACAATATGCTCTTTGTTTCCTATTTCTTTTTTTTTTCCTTTTTTCTCTCTTTTACAACCGTTTTGACAATAATTGTACTTCTTGCTACTATTTCCTGTTTCTTCCGAAGTTCGTTCATTTTTACCTCGGGCGACAGAAAATTAAAATTCAGAAGAAATAAAAAAATAAGATGTAAATAATAGCAAAAAACAAGAAACAGGAAACAAAAATACATTAGGCATGTAGATAGGCTTAAGACTTTTCTACGTTTTCAAAATAACATTACACAAACTATATGACAGTTAAAAAAATTGTTTGTCGTAAGCTTTGTGATCTTTAATCATTATATAGACCTTTTCTAAAAATGTCTATATATAATCACGATATTAGGATTAGAGATAAGTAAAATATATACACATAATAAATATTAAATTTTTATTTTTTAATACGAAGTTCATTATACGAATAACCATTAACCAATACTTTTAACAATTTCTATAATATTATATATTTTGCAAATTTATCAATATTCAATGATTTGCATTGTTACTCCAAATTCAATTCACTGCATCTGATATTCACTCCACATGTTGAAATTTAAAGAATTTACACAAATTATAGATTTTCGTATCTGGCAATGAGAAACATCAACACAGACAGCTTTTATCTAATAATATTTAACATTATAAATAGGCACAATAGGAGTAATATGAACCAGATTTTGCAGACTCTCCCACTCTCTCTCACTGTCTTTCTTTTTTTTTTTTTTAATAATTTTAGCTACGTAAATAGGTTAAATTTGATGGCATAGTTTCATAAGAATAAAAATTAAATTGCCACGCCTTTCAGACGTTAAGTTTTGGTATTGATCTATAAAAATTATCAGAATACAAACTGCGTGTTCCCGTAACTTTAATTAAGATTAAATTATACATATTCAAAATAATGATTAAAAGATAATGTAGTTAGGAATAAAATAAAGAAATAAGTGTAGTAGTAACAATAAGAACAATAGCAATGATATTGAAGTTTACATAATACACGATTTTGCAATACACTGCGAGTGTATGAAACACTGCCTTCCTGATGTATTTACATAGAAGATTACTAGACCTCGCCAAATGAACATAGATACTTGTCGCGCTCGAAATCACACAAGTCCTATCTTTCCTCTTTTCATTTTTTTTTTAAATTATACTACGCCATCTCCCCCAGTATCTAGTATCGCTTAAGACGAATACAATTCTTTTATTGCTAATATTGCAATGATATTTTGTATAACTGTGTGTCAGAGTGATGATATTCCTGATATTACAATGTTATATGCATGTACCGCTCGTATTTGATACGGCAGTACAACTCTGTAAATATAGGTAAAGAAACATAATTATGCAACATATAATAAAGTTCTATCGAATATTAATACGAAGAGATTCATATCGGTAAACATGATATGGATCTACAGTCCGTGTGTGAATCATTTTCTGTGTCTAATCGTCTGACTCGTACTCTCTGTTTATAGTGATACTCTTTGAGATAGCTCTTAAGTGTCTTTGGCAATTGCAGCTTATTTATGCCATCGTACGTTGTTCGCGTGGTTATCACTGCTCTACACAGGTGCTGTAGCGGAAATGCGAAATTCCGATGTAACGGGATAGTGAGCATAGGCTCGAAAAACATACAACATGAGGGATCCTTATAATGTTCGATTAAACCGCATACCTGTAAAGATATATATCGATCATTATTATATCGTGTTTATCGATTATTGAAATGAAATGCAAATATGAAATAGATGCGAACAAATATACATATACGTACTGTTTCGGAAGCATAAACTCCTGGATCATGTGAATCAAAACTAAACTTATGATTCCATTGCTCAATCCGGGCATGTAATGAGCGTCCATATTTACGGAAACTCACGGAAAACAAAAATTCTTCCTGCGCGGAATCTCGCAGCAAGAAAGTACCCTCTTGCTTGCCTTCCAATAAACGTTCCGCTTCGTAACGATCCATCTTACCCCAATAGAAAGAGCAGGCTGTAATCGACCTTAAGTCCGGCACCAGACAATGGACATAATCGACCTGTATTACAAAATAGCGAAACAGTGAATATATAACATGAATTATAAATGTATACTAATATTTTAGAGATTGAATGTATGTATGCCAGAAAAACAAAAAAATATTGTATGTCATATTAATTTATGTACTACCATCATTTTTAATTCTGGTTGTAATGGTTGTGATAAAATGAAATTCTCTTTTTGTTTTAAGAAATCAAATAATTCTAAATTGTAAATTAATTTTTGTCTGATATTGATTCTCTGCATTTTTAATATTCCAATCTATATTCTTACACTGGTAAAATTTTATATGTATACTTGTATTTGTAATTTTTATTTTTTAGCATATAAATTTATTTCATAAAGGATCAATAGAATTTATGATTTCTTATATAAATGTTAAATAAATATAATTTGAATAAAAAAAAGAACTTACTTGTGTGTGTGCAGGTCTTTCGATATTTGGAATTAATGTAAAATCGATTTGGGATAAGGCTGTAAGAGCGGCAGCTTGAATACCGGCATGTGCTTGAAACAATGCCGCTAAACTGTCCACCGTTATTCCGTTGGGATGAACTTGTATACCCGTAGGATAATTAGGCCTATAACCGGGAGGAGGCTCAACGCCTTCCTCCATCTCTCGTGCGCGTTGCATTCGAGCACGTTCGTCACAATCCTTTAAAAACAAAAAAAAATGGATATAGTAAAATCAAAATTTCATAAATTTCTTTTTAAAAAAATAAAAAAATTTCTTATATACTTCATTTACACGTACTTCCATAGGAAATTCTTCGGGGTTAAATCGCGATAAATCAATTACGGGACTCGGTGGCAAAGGTCCGAGAATGGGACTTTGCGGAGCGGATCGACTATTAAACACGATACCCGCACCCATAGGATGCTCCTCTGTTCTTCTATAACCGGTGCATATACAATCCGAGTTACCATTCCCTTGGCCGGGAATAATGTCAGTATTTTTTGAGCTTTTGCTCTTGGCGCAATTAAATTTCAACACCCAGTTGCTACGTTTCTTTTTTGATGATAAAACGTGATTACATATTGGGCTTTGATCTTTATTGCGCTGTTTATCTAATGTGAACAAATAAGTTTGAGTTATAGTTATACAAAATTACAATATTTATATATGCGAGAAATTAATTTGATACACATACTTTTTCTCTTCCCAAATGACAAAGTTTTAGAGGATCTTCTTAAAGGTGGATTTACAGGACTATCTTCAGAACTGCTACTACTGTTGCTACCACCAGAACTACTACAGCATGCTTCCTGCTGTTGTCTAAATGATGGCTCGCTCGTAACATTACCATTGTTACAAATTTGCTTTGTATCCTGAGTTTCAACAGGTTGACTATACAAAGATTCAAATCTAGAATTATGGTTGTCTACATCTAAGTTTAAACGATCGTTGTCCAAATTCCCTTCTAATTTACATTCTGGTCTACTCGGCAGTATATTAGGGTTCGTTACAGGTACATTGCCATTAGTCTCATTATCGGGCAAACTTTCATTGCCATCTCGATTCACCATATCCAAGGATAATGGGTGGCTGAGCGCGTTAGCGCATATCTCAGTAGGCTGTCTTTCACCATCCATTCTAAAGAAGTCTCTGAGACTAGCAAAGTGCTGTCCCATTATTAATTTGCATGGCAGGCATTTTATTGCCTTAATGATCCCTTGTCTACACCATGATTGTAGAAACTATACAAGATATACATTGGAATCTTTAATTCGGCATGATGCAACTCCAATTTTTCACAAGTTTTATATCCGCCTAGCCACATGGAGGATCTTACGTCAGAGAATGCAGTAGGTCTGTCGCATGCTCACCTATACAAATAATAAAAATCACTGTGTAACATATCTACTATATAGAGAAATACTTATTCATAAAAATTTATAGTTTTAATATATAACAGATACCTATATATGTATTCAAATAAATGATTCATGCTTTTTAGTATTAAAAATGAATTCAGGAATAAAGACACATATTGGTATATTCTCGTTGTATTATTGAGTCAAGCACAGATACTGTATCATGCGCGATAATTGTGAATGAAAAACGGTACCTCAAACGAAAAAATGACAGGTCGAGTCTTATAGATTCGCTCATAGTAACACACATATATGCACGCACACATACATTCGTGTATTACATTACTACTTATCGATAGTAACTCGTTTCACATACAGATGTCATTATTGAAAAAAAAGAGATGATATCATTCTCCTGACAGTAGAAACAAGTCGAAGCACGTTTAAAACGAGTTACACACGGGATAAGCAGACGATTAGCAGGATGTGCTAAGCGAACGCACTGCTGGCTTTTACATCACGACGATATCACCGCTAGAAATATCACGGAAATTATGCTTCCCACCACGACGTAACTCTTCGTCACAGTCGATCATCAGGCTCAGGCGGCTCAGGCAACTAAAATTGTCAAAACACGTCCCGACGAATCATCAGCCATTTTCCCCAATTGCGATAAGTCATGAGGTACACACATGCACCATAGAGTACCGACTTACTGAAAAAATTGTGACCGTTCAAATCCTAAACCTGGGGAATCAATTATGTATTTTGAAATAAAATGAAAATTACGAAAGTGAGCAAATTCACTAGATGACCAATGAAATGATAAAGCTCGAATGAATTGCTCAGTTAATTTTCACTTCGGCTGCGTTTGGAATTGACATTCACGCGCTGTAAGATTCATTGGCTGTGTTTAGCAGACTCCACAGTTTAAATGAGCACTCACTGTTATTGGTGTATTCTTTCAAATCATCCAATCAGAATTTTAGATCTAGAAGAATACATCAATAGCAGCGAGCGCTCACTCAACTGTTGACTCTGCTGAACGTAATTTCATTACACCCAGTAAATTTGTTCACTTTTGTAATTTTTACCACGTTTCAAGATATAGGATACGGATTTCATTCCGTTCTTATTTCAAAATCGTTTCAAGTAATATTTTAAGATGCTAATACAGCCCTCTGATTGGTTGATGACATCTTGAGGTATACTTAAGATGATTCTAAATATGGTATAAGATCCCATTATAAATACCACTCTATAGCTGCGTTCCGTTATTCACTGTAAGTACTGAAAATTTATAGTATACGTAATGTGAACTATAAATTTTCAATACTTGCAGCAGAGAGAAATCTGAGAGTGGACATCCCGATTTTTTTCGTGTACCAAATCTCGTAAAGTAATGTCTATGTTTTTGTGGTTTTTTTTCCATATTATTGGATTAGACAAATACGAATAATCAACTTTGATTGTTTGTCCTTGTCTAATTCACGTATTAACATGGAAAAGAATCACAAAAACGTGGATTCACCCTACGAAGTTTGGTACATGAAAGAGGTCGAGATGTCCACTCTCAGGCCGGTATTCATAGTCAGAACTTATATTTAAAACCGTCTTAAGTACAATTTTAAATGTCATGAACCAATCAAAGGGCCGCATTAGCGATTTAAGATATTATTACTTAAGACGGTCTTAAAATAAGAACCGACTATGAATACCGACCTCTGATTGGTTCGTGACACCTCAAGACAAAACTTAAGACGATCTTGAATATAAGAACCGACTATGAATACTGGCCTCAGGTTTTTCTCGGCTTGCAGCGAATAACGGATCACACCCGAATACCGACTAAACTCTCACAATTCTCGAAATGTGATTGGCTGTTTATTGCGTAGACAAGTATTGCGAATCGCGCGTCTGACATTTAAAAACTTTACTTTTTGTATATGCATACGCGTCAACGAATAATCAATCAAAGCTATGTTCCAAACTTGACTGCCAGTATGAAAATCTATAGTTTACGTTACGTACACTATAGACTTTCAGTACCGGCAATAAATTTTCGAACAGCCCACATAAAACGAAAGTTTGCATCGCGTTGCGACTTGGAAGGTTTCGGACAGTTTCGGAATAACTTGTCAAATTTTGGCGGCAAAAGGGGAAGGAGGGGAGAATAGTCCGAAATTCACAGATCTCTCAGCTCTCAGCTGCTCTCAGCTTATTGTAGAATCGTAGATGTACACAACGGCAGCATACACGTTGCTAGTCGCGGCATTCACGATACACGCGATTCCTGTTTTGACGACCGCTATTGGTGCTATTTATCCCGCGTCAGCGACTACTCGTAACGCGTGAAAAGCGTTCTACTTGTTCTCCATCAGCCTTGGCTTTTCCTTCCTAAAGAAAAGCTTTCTCTACGAATCCCTCTCGCCGCGGTAATAATCGGTGAGTATCGCCCGCGCCTCCGTCGTCGCGGAAGAAATATCAGAGCCGTCGAACGGAAGGCACCCTTAATTGTCGAACACATCTATTCGCCGTCTGCGGATAGGTAAGACGTCAAGTTCAGCTGCACTATCTTACACTATCTGCACTAGATGGATATGTGATTGATGAGAGATATTTTACGAGAGCACAGCTCCCAGATGATGCACCACAGATCCTGAGCTTCTCTCGTTGTCTTTCTCTCTTACTTTCTCTCTCGTCTTAGAAAGTTTTTCCTGCACTTTTTTTTTCCAGTGACCGCGAGTGATTTTACACCTTGCTCCTCGGACCATATAGTAGCAATTTTCGCGATTATCGCAACCGGGAAGACACGTAAACAATTTTGGCGAACGTAAATTTCGCGGATACTCATTTTGGCAGCTAGGTAGGATACAATATGGTTTTGTTTTTTTTTTTTTATTTCGAAAGATGAGTTACAATTATAAGAGAAAAAGAAAGGATACTCGTCTTATTGACAGATGGTGACAACTGTTGAAGGATGTGATTAGTTAGATTTTTCCTAGTAAAGAGAGATATATTTAGTAAACAACAAAGTTATAAATGTAATGTACCTGTTGTAATTTTTTACTCAATAATATAACTGTAATGCAACACATTTTTTTGTGTTACAACTAATAGGTACGTTAAATAACTTTGTGTTTGCTATACGGAACGAAGGATATGTTAAACTAATATTCTAAATTCAATCCTATGTTAAGAAAAAATAAAACAAGATTGTGCTATTGTCACCTTGTTGCCAATGTTACATTTCCACTTATCTGTGGATTCTTCTTTTCTAGAATGGCTCGTGGACAACAAAAGATACAGTCTCAAGCCAAGGCAGCAGAAAAAAGCGCGAAACTAAAGAAACAGCAAGGACACAGTGCCAATGATCAAAAAAAGGCAGCGCAGAAAGCACTTGTGCATGTGTGTTCTGTATGCAAGGTCAGATTCTTAGCTATCTGTAAATTTTTAGAAGCTTATTGGTATAGATTTGACACAATTTTTTTTTATTTATAGGCCCAAATGCCAGATCCTAAGACTTACAAGCAACACTTTGAAAATAAACATCCTAAGAACGAGCTGCCAGATGATTTGAAAAATATATGAGAGTACGAATTGTTATAAAGTGAGGATTGGGTGAGAGCGCAGAAAAATTTGCTGCGTCTGACAAAGTGATATAGTTCAACATCTTCATCTGATCATTGCATAGTTTCAGAAAATGAATTAAATCTTGTTAGTGTTTTAACTAATCTATTGCACTCGACAGATTGTTGTTGCACAACTCCAAATATTAAGCATAATTAATGATTTACTTATAGAAATTCTTCATTTGTAAACTTCAATATTTTTCACGCACGTCATATAATCAATACTTTTCATATGAACGTTATATTTGAAGAGATTCTGTGTATATTTCTAAATAAAGCTCATAAATTTAACGGCAAAATTTTGAAGCATTTAAGCACATAAGAAAAAAATGCAATACCGTTGATTTCCTATTTCTGTTACGAAAGAAGATGATAACAAGGCTAATATAAATAGAATTATGTAATTATATATTAAGAGCATTTTTATTCAAGTTTTTTATGATGATTATTTAAAACCGTTACACAAAAAAGTATTTTAGTATCATAAATTTTACTTTTATACCTAAAATTTTTCCTTTATGAAAAGAATATATTTTCTATCATTGATTTTGTTGCATTTAATAGTTATGCAAGTAATAGTTATGTATTTTGAGATATAAGTTTATAAAAACAATTCTTTAAATAAGAGGTTGAGAGAATGAGACATAACAATCTTTGACTACATGACTGCCAATTTATACTTGATTGTAATGTATTCTCTTTAAAATAAGAACAATCAATAGCTGAAATAGAGATATTGTGTAGCCCTTCCCTTCACATTTATAAAGGTAAATATTTTTATTTTTGTTTATAATTAAGCTTGTCGTTTACATTATACTGTCCACAGATACAATGCGTAATTCCTCTTGTTACAGAAAAAGTTAATAATAATGCATTTTTTATGCTTGTAAAATATGTAGTACTTAAAGTATCATAATAAACTAAGAATAATTGATTCATCCTATTGTTATATATTTATTGTAATTATAAGAAATGTACGAATATTCTGTTGGCTTCAATAAAGAATCCATTATTCTTGGAATATATTATTAATATATTTCAGAACGTTATTTCTTTTTTTTTTACGTGCAAACGTGAGCCAAACATCCATTTTTATATTAATCAAACCTCGTATACGTCATATTAAACAAATATTGTAAAAGTATTTGGATCGATTACGATTATCTTTCATAGTTTTATTTATTTACTACAGCTAAATCTGCTAGATTATTGACTTGCAAGTCATCAACTCGTTGCTTGCGTCATATAAAGTGTACTATCCTGATAAGGCTAATGATGTAGCATGACGTTATAAATTCTCTATATGAAATACATAATCTTTAGAATATATTAAAGAAATGAGTATTAACAATGATATTTGCGTTAATATTTGTATGCACATTTTCGTGGGAATCTATCTTATTGTTATTACTGTGACGAAATATGCAACGTACACTAGTTTCGAATTTTCGACAAGCTATCAGATAACTATATTTACTTGTGAACTTCAAACAAAAAAAATAGTTCGTTTGATAAGAAATGAGAAGACTTTAAATATAGTCAAGTATAAGAAACAAAAATAGAATGTACT